ATAAAAGTATGTGAAGTTCGCAACTCCATTGTTTGAGTAAACTTGCACAATGTTCTTGAATGAACGATTTATTAGATGCACAACGGTCTGTTATTGTAGGGGCATCAACTTTACATTTTTACACGCCTAAACATGATGCGGAACAAAAAGGCCTGTGATTGGTTCTGAAGTGCTACGTGAGACTAGGTTAAAACTGCCTCATATAGACACATTTAACCATAGTAAGTATGCCCAATTAAGCGAGTAAAATGATTGTTTCATGTTGACTTTAGAAAAGAAACATAAGCATGCAAAGACAATCAGCTGAGAACATAAATCTGAGTTGGATAAACTCCTGACACAAAGCACATGCAACTGTAGTCATTCACACAAAGGACAGGAGCACAGGCCTGCACACATCTTCATGACCACTTGAAGGAAAGTTCTGCCATCAGCTTTAAAACAGTAGTAATCACCACTATTTTGTTTTATAAAAGCCTCACACAGCGCAGTGTAGAGATTAATGATCGACGTGAGGCATTTGTGGTCAACCTCAGAAACTTCCCAAACCAGCATGTGGATAAACCCTGAGGTTTGACACCGTTTCCAAACGTGGTTTCCCGGCTTACGGCTCTGGGACCAGACCAGTTGAGTTTCTCCAATGCATTAAGGCCAACAGAGAACTGCAAGGCATCCAGCATATCTTCATAGCGCTTTCATGATTCATGGTTTTGTCTCTACAAAAAGCATCTATAGTCAGATATTTAAACCGGTTTATTCTCTAAAATGACATATTGCTTTGACAAACAGAGGTAGGCATGTCATATCAGGCATCTCAGTTAGCCATGACTCAATTTGTCACAAAATGGTTTCTAGATGTGTGAGGCATCCATTTGTCCTCAACACATCTAGAAACCAAGTTGTGACAAATGTCAGCAGCTCTGTGACAATAAAGCTTCCCCCTTTATAAAGGTTGCAAAATGTTTGTTTTTTGTTGCACTGATGCCATCGAAGAACTGTTTCTGGTTCCCCAAAGAACCTTTTACACTGTTATTGAACTTAACTTATACAACATTGAACTGAATTAAACTGACAACACATTCTCATCCTTTAACGTCATATAGAACGCTAAATGCAAAAACGGCGCTATACTACGCACATGGCACCCGTTATCGTTAATATAACATGCGCTGTGAGGGCTAAGTTTAGGTGTGGGGTAGGGTGTGCGTGTCATATTCACGCTAAAGGATTTATAACGTCTTGGGTTCGCGTGTTATATTAACGATAAAGGGTGCCATGTGCGTAGTATAGCGCCGTTTTTGCATATAGCGTTCTATGGATGAGAACGGGCTGAAACTGAACAAGAACAACCACACTGTCTTCTGTAGAGCTGCTTATTGCTGAATTGAACTCATTTCATAATTGATAAACTTTACACAGTTATTGAACTGAACTGAATCAACACTAAACTGAATTGAGCTGAATAACGACAATTTATAGCTGAACTGAATCCATTTCATTAATGAACTTTACACAGTTAATAAACTGAACTGAATTGAATTAATAGGATAGTTCACTTAATGATTTAATGATTTAATGACTCGTAAATGTAAGTACACATTGATGGTCTAAGACACGAAACGAACGGTTTGTGTGAGAAAATGAACAGTATTTATATTGTTTTTACCTCTTGTAATCACAGCCACGTCCAAGCGATCTGAAGGCACGCGATCTCTCGCTGTGATCTCTCGCGCGGTTGCGAAAAAAAAATCAGCGGTGTCTGTTGATATATCGATATCGTCTTCTATTGTGATTTCCTGTATATCTAAATATGTTTAGATCTTCACAGTGAAGGGCAACACTTCCGAAATCTCTGTGTAAACAATGAGTGACGTGGTGTGTGTGGTGGAATGAGTGATGTGGCTGTGGTTTTAAGAGGTAAAAACTATATAAATACTGTTGGTTTTCTCACACAAACCGCTCGTTTCATGTCTTAGGCCATCAATGTGTACTTACATTTACAAGTCACTAAATGATTTTATAGAAGTGGTGTATTTTTCTTTCTGTCTTTTCTGTATTGTGTTTAATGTTGTTTTTTCTTTTTCTCTGTCCAGCGCTTTGATCAACTCATGGTTGTTGTAAAGCGCTATATAAATAAAAAAATTGATTGATTGATTGATTGATTGACTAATTTATTGATTGTTTAATTTTGACTTCTCTGTGCATGCTCTTTGAGGTGGTGACCATAGACCTCCATTATATGACTGACAGACAAGAACGGTTTGACCTAAACATATCAAAATTGAAATGACTGTGGAAACAAAGACACCTACATCTTGGATGCCCTTGAGGTAAGCTAAAACATATCAAACATTAATTTCAAAGTGAACTATCCCTTTAAATAACAACTCTGTCTTCTGTAGAGCTTCTTATAGCTGAATTGAGCCCATTTCATTGATGAACTTTACAGTTATTGAACTAAACTGAATTGTGCTGAATAACAACACTGTCTTTTTAAGAGCTGCTTATAGCTGACTTGAACCCGTTTCATTAATGAACTGTACACAGTTAATAAACTGAACTGAATTGAGCTGACTAATTTTTTGATTGATTAAGTTCCTGTGTATTACTGTGAAGTTGCTTTGAAACAATCAGTACTGTATAAAGGTGACTTGACTCGTCTTTATAGGAAATTACAGTAAGAGATCAAGCTATTTTGAGAGCTTTACAGAGAAAAAAATTGAGTATGAATACAAACGTGTGAGGGGCTAAGGGGCTGTTTACACCTGGCCACTTCATGCGTTTTCTGTGATCGGATAGCTATCTGATCGTGAAAAGACCAGGTTTAAATGCCCTTCGAAAAATATTTGAGGCAGATTTGAATCCAATCGCTCAAACCACATCAGGAGTAGGTCTGGGCCGCAGGTGTAAATGCATCTGGTTGTTGAAACCAATGTAAATTTTATTCCTCCCAAAAATGCTAAAAAAATAAATGTGTGAGAGCATGCTATAGACCATTTCACAAGATGTAAACAACACTGGTCCAGAAGCACTTCCTGTTTCAGTTTGTAACTGTTTTCTTTATTTCACATGTAAAGAAAACATCTTAAAGATGTTTGTTTAACTTTTTGATTCAGTTTTATATGTTCTGTTGGTTGTATTTTATCCCAACTTTTATGTAGTGTTAAAAAACTGAAACAGGAAGTGCTTCTGGACCAGTGTTGTTTACATCTTGTGAAATGGTCTATATAGGCTATATGTCATGTTATAGTCAGATTGACGACGCTACTGCAACGCGCATTACTACAGATGAGAAGCTGGCCATCTCTTCATCAAGCCAACGTGCAAACTATTGCAAATCAAAGTGAAAGTAAGTCGCAGACTCTTAATTAGGGTTGGGTATCGAGAATCGAGTATCGATTGGAACCCGGACTAACTTTTCGTTTTTCCCGGAATCGTTCAAAAGTTCAAATTTCGATTCCTAGTTTCGATATTCGCAGTCCGCCGAGCGGAAGAAGAAACCGCTGAACAACACCAACGAAGAAGCGTCTACCGGAAGTGTTGGAGAGTAGCTTACGTCGGCGGTCCAAAGTGTGGCTTCACTTTTTCTAAAAATAACGAAATCTCGGCAAAATGCAAAATTTGTGACAAAAGGAGTATTTGTGACAGAAGGAGTATTTCCTTCAGAAAGACCATTGGTTAGCAAGGTTAGCTAAACTTTTTTAAGAATCGGAATCGAGAATCGTTAGGAACCGGAATCGAAACAAGGAATCGGAATCAGAATCGTTCAAATTCAAACGATACCCAACCCTACTCTTAACACACGAAATGATCTTACAAGGGCTGTTGCCGCTCTCTCTTATTGCCGTGTTTGATTTGGAAATTAGCCGATGATCAATAAAATGCAGCTCATATCTGTTGCTTTCTGTGACGTGCACTCCATTAAATCTGCATATAGCGCGGGAATTGAAGATCGGATTTATATCCGTTTTCCAAAACACCTTTATGTGACCAGGTGTAAATGGAATCGTTTTGATAAATCCGATCTGAGAAAACGCATGAAGTGGCCAGGTGTAAACAGTCCTTAAGAGAGACATAAAGTGATCTAAGTGACCCACACCAAGTTGTACTGCCGTGAGTAATGTGTGTGTGTTGGTATGCGTGTGTGAGCAGGCAACCACGCGTGGGGCAAAACCACTCACCATCTGCCCCTCTTTCCCCCAGTCCAGCTGAGGATGAACTCAGGACTGGTAGCGAAACCTCACTGAGGGCGTCTGCTGGGGCAACAGTGACATCACTGATCAAACACACACAAGTCTTCTCATTTCCAATGTTGAAGTGAGAGTCTGTTGGACCTACCCATCGGCGTTTGAATAGCTGTGTCATGACATGATGTTCAGAACTAAAGCTCTTTGCACATTTGCAATATAAATGACACTGTCATCCGCATATCTCGGCCGAATCTAATCAACTTTGAACTAATCTGAGTCGAAACCGCCCAGAAACCTTGTTTCCTCAATTGCAACATGGATGAATTATCCCACTGAGCCTGGCAGACTACAGCAGCCGCAGATATCTCATCTGCCTCACAATGATTTAGCCTTTCATACATTTGGCACTGTGTTCTTCTTGGCCCCTCAAAATGCCAGCTATGTGCAATTACTGCTGGAATGCTGAACAAAAGCCGAGCCGTGTCTCTGCGCTGGATTCGCTTTGGCCCCGGCGTGGCTGGAACTAGGTCACCATGTATTACTGCAGCTGTGAGATGCTACAGAGCTTCGCTGACAGCACTGATGCAGAGCGCATGGCTAGTAGCAAGCATGGTGGCGGCAGAGTCGGTTAAAACAGGCATGGTAGATACTTGCTGTTAAAATTAAACTACAAGGGATATGACTTTTTCATCAGTTAATTCAAACAAACTGTCCTTGTAAATTTTGAGGTTAACATGCTCACGAACGTCACCCCACTTCAGGCTCAGAATAATACTGCAAAGCCACATTTATTAGAAATTGTCCTTTTACCTTTAATTCTTCTTCCATGTCTGAAACCTTTTTCTCCAATGCTTCTTTTTCCTACACAAGCAGACAAAAAATAATTATACAGTTTTATAAATAAACTATAAAATAATAGATGGAATCAAATAAGTCACTTTATATTAGATGTCTTTAACAACTACCCAGACAGCAAACTGACATTGAATCAACGTGGAAACGACGTCTCTCATGACAATGAAACAACGTTGATTTTGCTCATCGAATTAACGTTGAACCAACGTCAGACGCGGCATTCTTCAAAGCTAAATGAAAATCGAAAATTGGTTTGCTTTCATAACGTTGAAACAACGCGTTTTTCTGTTAGTTTTGAAAGAATGATGCGTCTGACGTTGGTTCAACGTTAATTCGATGAGCAAAACTATGTCAGATCAACGTTGTTTCAATGTCATATTTCCACGTTGATTCAATGTCAGTTTGCTATCTGGGTATGTACTTGCATTAAGAAAGTTAATTGTTAGGTACAATGTCCTTGTGTTCATTTTGTATTGCAGTGTAACTGTACATTAAAGTACTGTGTAATAAGAATTAACCGCATGTACTTTTTATAGGGTTGAGGTTAGGACTGGGGTTTGGTTTAGGGTTAGTTGCATCCCATAGTGTTTCAGGCCCACATCAGGTACCAGATTCCACACGTACCAGATGTGGGCCGGATATGGCCCGACACTATATATAGTGTCACTATATATAGTGTAATTACTAAAAATTGTGCATAATTACATATGTAAGTATGCACAATTTTTAGTAATTACTATAGTCACTGCATGTAATGTGTAACAAGGACACTGTAAAACAAAATAATAATGTAATAATGCCAAAGTGTTACCCGAAACGGTGTATAGGTGTGTCATTATATATGTGACTATATTAATTAATTACATACAGGCATTTTAAAGTATAAGTAAACTGTAAAAAAAACAAAAAAAACATGTATGTACACAATAAGCGCATTGTATCGAACTATTAATTTAAATGTTAGTACATACAATAGTAGATATCCAAAAATAATTTGTAAAATTAATAATTTATTTAAATGTATGTAACAATAATTGATTAATTTTCTAAATGCATATTTATCCAAATTAAATTAAATTCAATTCAAATCAAGGTGTTAAAGCAGAATAAAACATTGTTTATTGAGGTACTATGAGAACGATCTCATAGATCTTAATCAACACCGAAGAGAACATTCCTCAGAAAGTGTCAATAAAGATTATATAATGATGATATATATATACCCTTTTCTCTGATTCAAATACAGTGGACCTCTCTGATATTCTGTCCTGCTTCTGAAACACATTCACGAAAGAACAATGAGCAAAAGAGAAATGCAAACTGTAAAGGAACAAAATGAAGGTGTGTTAAAGACATATTCAAAGTAAAATATTTAAAAAGCTAAATGTTTTAATAAGCAATTACTGCTGGACCAGTATCTAGACATATTATTGGCTTTTTCACAGCTTGTGATTCCTTACAGATGCTGTGAGTTTTACCAAAGCCAGTCCCTCTGGAGCCCGACTGGATTCAGAGGGCCAGTATGTGCTTTTGTTTTTAATACAGGCCCCTCCTCTTGGCAGATGATGGTCCTACAGATGATTTAAGCCAAAGAAAGAAGATCTCTCTCCCCATCTGACTGTTCTCTCACCTGTGCGACTCTGTCAAGCTGTGAGCGGATTTTGGTGAGCTCCAGTTTGCTGTCGTCCAGTCTCGACTTCAGCTTCTCATTCTCAGCCAGCGCGTCCTCGTACAGCTGATAAAGGGAAACAAACAAGAAGAGATTAAATTAGCATCTCCACTGGGAGCTGCTTTCCTGGCGCTGGTCGACAGAAGACTTCTAATGGTCTGCACTAGATAAACAAAGAATGCTATTAACTATTAAAAAGGAACATCACATTAAACTATATGAAGAGTTCAGATGCAAAAGCCTCTAAATGCCATTTGAAATTTTCTTCTTTAATGATGATTTTTATCAAACTTAGATATTTAAGTTCAGTAATTTCACTTAAATAACAATTAATAGGTAATTATCATTGCAATTTAAGTGAAATCACTGAACTTAAATATACAAGCTTGATAAAAATCATCATTAAAGAAGAAAATTTCAAATGGCATTTAGAGGCTTTTGCATCTGAACTCTTTATATGTACTACTTGGATTTTATTTGGATGTAAGTTGAAAGTTAATACACACTGTAAGCATTGTGAATGTCATATAACTGGGATAGTATTTGAGGAAAAATATCTATAATGAACGTCATTAAAGGTGCATTGCGCAAGTCTCTGAGTTTTTGCAGAACTATGCCCCCTCTGGCGACAAGCGAAACGGCAACCGGAGGTGTTCACGCTCATGGATCACACGCACACTAGTGCTGTCGCGAATTAGTCGACGGCATTTTTTTTAGTCGACGAGTCGTTTTAAAATTCACCAGCTATTTATTTTTGGTCTCACGTCTCTAACGGCTCACAATTCAGCTCTACACACCAGTCTGTGCATTGTGTGCGCCTAGCTGGTTAATCCTGCTTTAAACCCCTGCCTTCACTGCTTTGATATGAATAATTGCAGAGGCAGGTGACGGTGCTTTCACACTGGGCTCTTTTGCTGCGGTCCGAGCCCGAGCGCAATTGTTCCCGGCGCCCCGAACCCTGGTACGTTTGTACATCATACACTTATGTACATCATACATAAGTATGTGTAGATTACACACTTATGTGTGTGTGTGAGGGGAAAACGGGGGTAGTAGAAAACTTCGGTTTTTGTTTCCATCTATCTCCATGTTGAACTGTTTTATGTGTTTACTGTATCCACTTATGATCGTATCACTATGGAAACACGTTCATGAACAAGTTATTACTTTGTATAATAACCTTGTATAGTTATTACTCCCATTTGAGCCCTAGAGCAGACCGGAGATCTCTCCATTTGTTGAAAGCTTCCCGATGTTGACTCTCATCTTATTCTGACGCCTGGCACTAGACAAAAGTTTTATTTTCTTTGTCCTACGTGGAGTTTGCGTTGGGGTTTGGAAGGAACTACAAGCCGGCCTCTTTGAATTCATCTTCTACTTTTGTCGAAAGTTGACTAAAGTTTTGTCGCTCGAGTTGTCTTCGCTGATACGGAGAATAGGTGGTTTGCAGTCACGTGATTGTGTTGACGCGCGGAATGCAGATGGAGGGCAAGGAGTGATGGCGCAATGGACGAGATGGAGTCCGTACTGTACTACTTTAGACGCTTTTACAAGAGAAATATACAAACAGAAAATCGAAACATATGTTGGACGTGATCCTTACGTTATGAAGAGGACCGATTTTCAACTGAATTGAGAGATTTGCCTGCCATCGAGGCTGTAGATATCAGCAACTAACTCGTCTTACAGACATACTTTGACTTTACAAAGTTCGGAAACTGGTACGTTACACAAAGAGCCACATAAGTGCATTTAAACACCTAATGTAATTATAAGCCACATAAATAATGTATTTACTCACATTTGATTAAGTGATCACAGCACACACACACAGGCATTTTCCCATTCGGCTCCTCCCGACCGCAGACGTAGGTTTACAAGACATTTTTCCCGGTGTTTTTCTGTCAATTTCTTGTATTTTTCCCCCTTATGAGCAACAACTTTGGGCACAAGATAAAAACTCCTCGTGGTTTGATCGATTTGAGCAACCATAAACGACGCAAAACATAGGCATATTGAGTGTTATAGTGCTTCCTAATGTAGAAAATCACTTCCTGCCCTCCGTCTGCATTTCGCGCCATGGCAACGCAGTGGCGTGACGTCACGTGAAAACAAGCTATACACAAACCTGCCAGACATAGCCAGGTGAACATGAGCACGCATGACGTCACGCCCCGTCTCAAATTCTGACCCGAATCCCTCTTTTTTGTTTATGTCAATGCCAATGTCATCTTTATTTGTATAGCACTATTAAAACAACACAAGTTGACCAATGTGCTTTACATTCTCACTGTAAAATAAAAATCGAGACATACTACAAAAGCAATAGAATAGAAATAGAAATAGAATAACATAAAAACATTTAAGACGAATAAGCCATGGCAAACAGATATGTCTTAAGTTGTGTGCTTTAAAAGCATGTACAGAGTCAGCATCCCTAACATTTATTTATTTCACTCTACAGGATTATAGAGGCAATCGCAGTGATCGGAGAATGGTAAATGGACTGCATTTATATAGTGCTTTCACAGACCCAATGGCCACCAAATTGCTTTACATTTGCCTCACATTCACCCATTCACTCACTCATTCATACACAACGGTGGTGTCAGCCATACAAGGCGCCAGGGCTCCAGACTAACTTTTTTCACCTCCGTCCTGGAACCGTCCTGAATGACAATTTGAACCGTCCTAAAGTGAATGTCAAACGTCCCAAAATATAACTTTTGTTTCTGTACCTGCTGTTATCATCCATAGCTGTTAGTTAACTAAAACAATTCAGATGACAAAAATATAATGGGTTTAGTTCAACTGTAATGCATTAATTTAGAATTTCTCTAAAATTTTCAAACCTATACTTCCAGAGAAAAAAAAATCTATTAAGCAGTTAATATGAATGATTTTAAAGTTTGAACATGCAATACAGATACAGATTTAACTACTGTGACTTAAAAACATACCTTATTTTTTTCCAAACAAAATTATTGTTTATCTTGCCTGAATGTTTGCACTCATTGCATTTTTACAATGGGGAAATGTTGTTAAGAATTTAGACAACACAAAGCTTGATTTAAATTGTTCAATTAAATTGAAAAAAGTTGCACAAATAAATACAATAAAGATACAAATAAAGAAAAATAAAGAGAAAAGTTTTTGAAGGTCTAACACTATATTCATAGACAGAAACTGAATAAAGTAATGAAAATGGAAAATAACACTGGATATTGTTTTAGTACAGAATACATTAAATAGGCCTACATAGGCTATTAATCCTGATTCCTTTAACTTTAATTCCTTAAACTTGTTGTTTTGACGACAAAATTAATGACCGAGACATATGGTTGCTGTCTCTTTAAGAGCACGGATTCTGTGTTCATTATGCTGGCTTGCGTTTTATGCTTATTAAAGACAAAACCGACTATGTTTAGACTATTATACTCACGAAGACCGAAATTGACACAGTTTTGCCCGTTAAATGCAATATAATCCGTGAAAAATAACTTTTGTTACTGGCCAGCTGTTCTTGAGGCAGATTTTCTATGAATGTGAGCATAGTCATCCCAGAGAGCGCGAGCACTGATTAGTTTAAAATCGCCTGAATGTTTAAACTGGTAAGACGTGCAAATGGTAAACTTCATTCACGATGCACTGCTGGCCCGATTGTGCAAGTGAATATCCCATCATGTCCCACTCCTGAACGCGAGTGTGTATTATCGCAGCAGCGACTGATGCTTGCCTTCCACAACATTTTGAGAGAAGAGAAGACGCAGCACTGCTGAACACTCACGCTGTTTGTGAAATTACGTCTGGCATTTTATAAACTATGTGGATTACGATTGCGGTAATATCCCGCATTATAATTAGGAGACCTGTGGGAATGATTAGAATTATGCGCAATACCCGCGCCGAAATTCGAGCCCTGTGAACTCACATACAAAATGTCTTTTGTCCTGTAGGCGTCCTGCATATTTCTGTTCATCCTAAACACATTTTCTATCGTCCCCAGGACGATAGGACGCCGTTAGTCTCGAGCCCTGCAAGGCGCAATCCAGCTCGTTGGGAGCAGCTGGGGTTAGGTGTCTTGCTCATGGATACCTCGACACTTCGGATTCAACACATCCCAATGTGGACCAGATCTGGGCCGACACTATGTTGGTGTCTGGGTATAGCTTTCTGAGACGTAAGTATGCCAATTAGGCAGATAACTTCACTAATTGGTGGAACCAGCCAGTGAATGGGAGAAGGGCTCATTCAGCCAATCAGGCAACAAATGGGTTAGAAAACGGTTATTTTTAACATGAAATGTTGCACAATGCACCTTTAAGTATTTTATTAATCAAAGGTATGACCTTCTTATAGTCCTTGCTGGCAGAGTTGTCGTCTGTTTTGCTCAAAGAGGCGAGTCTGTTCTCTCGGCGTGTGTATGTGCCGGTCCGAGCCGACAGTCGGTCTGACGGAGACTCCACTCCACTGGAGTCTGACCTGCTCATTCACATCAAGCACTTAGTAAGCAATCTTAAAGTTTATTAATGTATATATCAGTACAAAAAAAACACATTAAAGAATAATGTTTGTAGACAAAAGAACGGAGAATCTTACCTTGACGCCCGGTCTTGCTGCAAAGGAAAAAAAAAAGTTTGATTAATTATTGCTAAAGTTGTCATTTAACATAAACAAAACGCACCTATACACTAGATGCTTATTAGCATGCATATTAGCAGGATATTGGCTGTTTATTAGTTCTTATTAAGCATATAATAATGCCTTATTCGGCATGATCATATATAGTCCATCCAATACCTGAACTTAACAACTACATTACTATTAATAAACAGTTATAGGAGTTTACTCAGGCAGAAGTTATAGGCAATAGTGAGAATTTGACCCTAAAGTGTGACCGAAATATCGCCATTTGTGTTTCTAAGATGAAAGAAAGTCTGTTGGGTGTGGAATGACATGAAGGGGACTAAACGATGACAGAATTTGGTTGGGCGTTATTACTATGGTCCATATATATTATCTTTAAGAACATAATAAAAAATATATGGGCAAGATTTATACAATAATGTTCATTAGTTAACATTTGTTAACTACATTAGTTACTAATAATCAGTGTTGTGCAAGTTACTTCCAAGCTGTAATACATTAGGTATTACTTGTTGCTGTTATTTAAAAGTAATTCATTACCTTACAATATTACTGTCTCAGAATTGTAATGTGTTACATTACTCATTTATTACTTTTGAGTTACTTTCACCAAAATAACTAAGTAGAACTTAACTTTTGGGCTGTAACGATATGCAATATGAAACCGACATCGCCATTCGCCACACGACTCAGATCCACGAACCTACAGAATCGCGAGACACCTCTTCCAACTCCCAGCATTATTCTCCTTACCGTCCAGATCCAATTCTGCCTTATCTTTAAATTAGGCTATTAGTATTATTTGAAGTTAACATTTGAAGTTAAGTCCAGCATTATGGACATGACATTTGCAGTCAAAACTTGAAACAAAAATTCTCAGAAAATACATGTACGTGCTACGTAACGTATATAGGCTACTTCCTTAAAGGACTCCAGATATTAGACAAATATCAGTCTATGTTTTATTTTTAATATTAGGGAAAAGACACACATTCATGCGTGACAAAAAAATAGGAGGCAAAACATATTTTTTGTAATTCTGTTAATTACACTGCGCAAATCGGATGAGGAAGGGTTGGCTCTCCAGTCTCCATAGAACTTAAAATATTTATTTTATTTAGTTTTCGTGTTCGCATTTATGAGGAAAAAACAATGTTACAGAGCGACCGCTCTGAACTGGCACTAAAAGTCTGCTTTAAAACTTTCACACAGTCTGTTGCCTTTAAGAAGTAAAAGCAGACAATACACTGTAATACAAGCCTCACTGAACATGTAACGAGTAAAATATTACTGAAAATTGATTAGTAATGCCTTACACTACTGCGTTACAGCAAAAAGTAATATGTTACAGTAATGTATTACTTTTGTAATGCGTTACTCCCAACACTTCTAATAATGAACTGCATATACAGCATTTATTTATCTTTGTTTATGTTAATTTCAACATTTAATAATACTTTATTAAAATCTTGTTAACATTAGTGAATGCTAAATACAACTGAAATACAATGAACAGCTGTATTTTTAAACAAAGATTAACAAATGGATTTATCATGGTTAGTTCATGTTAGTTAATACATTCACTAATGTTAACAAATGAACCTTATTGTGAAGTGTTACCAATATTTGTTTTCAAATTTGAAGTGCACTACAATTGAACATTTAATACAACTAAGTTCACTTCTTTTTTCACAGGGCCAGGTTTGATTTGCATTGCATTGGTCTAATCACTTATCTGAATACAAAAGCAATTTGATGTGGACAAATCGAAATGGTTTTCTGATTGGATGGTTTTCGTACCGGCCTGGGGTGCGTTTCCCGTACAACGACGTAGTTCGCTTCTTCACTACCATAGTATGATGCATCGTTGGAAAAATCAACTAGCTAGTCACGACTGTTTCCCGAAACCCATTGTCGCAAAGTATCCTTCAACCACGTTGGTTTCGCGCGTGGTGGAATAATAACTACTTTTAATGAAACTGTTTGCGATCCAAGTAACGTTAGATTTGTTTTATATAATTTACAGACATGTCATCTGAGGACTATTTCTAATTGTTCTCAGTTATTTTGATTTATTACCAGACTCAATATTTGGCTCGTTCTTACATAGTAGAGCACGTTCGCACATGCACACTCTTCAAACACGTTACTTCCAATCTTTTGACAAACTAAAATACGTAAATTACATTTGTATGTATTTTAAATGAAAGGCACCGGTTGTACTGAATGTCAGCTTGATTATTTTGCTCAAGATAAGGATTTATTACTTCCAAATGTCATGAAATATAGAAACGATGCCTCTAACCACAGGTCGAGAGCTGTCGTTCAAACCACACAACTTTCCAATGCTGTTTCCGAATGTTCGTTGGAACGATGGTTTCGGGAAACACAGACTCGTTAAACTATGCTGATAACGACGGAACTTGCGACCATAGTTGGCTAACGATGCTTTCGGGAAACGCACCCCTGATCAGTTCACAGTGACCGCGTGTTACATAAACTGAAGACTTTTTAGGTGTGACTGAACATGATTGAGACCTCTTAGTCTGTCACTGGGAATCTGCTGTGCAAAATCCTGGAGCAAGAGTATGATATCATGCCGTTGCAAACTAGTGCATATGTGTGTATCCATAAAAATGTCATTATGTCGCAGAGTGCTTTTTATTAGTTGAAATCACACCAACTCCAGTTAGCAATGACTGCACAAAAAAAAAGTTTCTAGAGGATTTCTTCTCTAATAAATGTTCTATTGTAATACATTACTATCCGATAAAGAATACTTTCCTTGAATAAGCCTATAAATCAGTTTGTGCTTATGGAAGCTAATCTTATAGACAGTAAATCTTCTGAAAGAATATTCCATTTTAGTTGCATGTTGTAGATAGTAGCATATCGTAAACATCACGACTCGGATGACCTTTCGTCCCAACTGAGGATGTGCATAGATGGTAAATGACTCGTGTAAAGGTCTGACAGTCCAAGCAGAAACATCCATAACAAAGATGGGAGGCAACAACTACAAGCCACTCATAATTTAAAGTAGTTAAACTACAGTCGACGGGTGCAGATTCCACACGGGTCTGGTGATATGTAGAGTCGTTGAGTCCAGAGAGAAAGCCAGAGAAAGAATCTCCTCTGTTCCTCTGCTAAAGACAGCACATCCTGTTTGGACACTTGATTATGCACCAGAGAGGAATAACAGTCCACTGTCTCCACTGTCTGACGGGGACCATCCGAACAACACCAAAAAAGGACATGCAAAATCAGTCACTACAGCCGGACAGAGTTTGGCAGAGAAAACGAAGAGCTTTTCGTGCACTATCGAAACTAATTACAGCAAATGAGATCTGTTAAATGGGATGGTGCTGTAACTGCAGGAGCTTTGAGACACTTTTCGCACTCTCGTTAGTTTAATGTGTCCACTACAATGTCCAACAGTGTACAGTACATCACCAGAGTCTGTCTTTTTTATCTGACAGTCATGAGCATTCCTCAAAACGAAGTCCGTTTAATTTTATTAAATGTGCATTTTTAGTATACTTCAAACTGTAAAAGTACTTGCAGATAATATATTCATTAAAGAAAACGCCACATGAACTTAATACCTCAAGTCAAGTCAAGTATATTTATATAGCGCTTTTCACAATACAGATTGTATCAAAGCTGCTTCACAATATCAATTAAGACAACTTAACAGTGTTTGTTTATTCATGAAAAAAAAGACAATCAAGTTTGGTAGAGCTGATCAATGGTATGTAGCCCATTCTCACCCCCAAGGCGTCACTTAACTGACGCCTTGGGAAGCATTTGGACATGCTTCAATATCTGACGCTTTAGGCGCCCTTTAGTGTCAGTTAGATGACGCCCTAGGATCGCGTGTACCCTACCCCCACCCCACACCTAAACCTAACCGCGTCCTCTAAGTGACGCTTTCCTTTAGCGTCGGTAAGATGACGGCGTAGGATCGCGTCATGTAAGTGACGCTAAAGGGCGCCTAAAACGTCAAATATTGAAGCATGGTCAAAGGTGACGCCTTGGGGTGAGAATGCGTTGCGGTATGATGGGTCATTTAATTTGAATATCCCCAACTGAGCAAGCCAAAGGCAACAGTGGCAAGGAACCGAAAAACTCCATCAAGTGACCTGACGGTGTCCTAAAACTCCATCAGATGACCCAATGGAGAAACCCAAGCTCAGTTCTCCTCTGACGTTTATGAACTAGAGGCCAAATTTACAATAACTGTAAGATAAAAAATTGATATGAATGCCTGGCTAAATAAATGCGTCTTTAGTCTAGTTTTAAACTGGGAGAGTGAGTCTGAGCAACGTCGGGGCTAAATGTGAAAATGCTCTCCCTCCTTTGGTGGATCTGGATATCCTAGGAATTACCAGAAGCCTCGAATTTAGTGATCTTAAAGAGCGCGATGGGTTGTACGGCGATAGAAGATCCGTTACTGGAGCTAAATTATAAATTATTAAAAAAAATGGTAAAACATACATACATACATACATACAGAGAAAATATAGTTGAAGAAATATATTTCAATTATGTACAAGCATATGTGACCGTGAGAGTATCTCTCTGATCGTAACTGCGTATGCTTTTTTCTGGCATGATTCTAGTGCTTTTTACAGGGAAATAAACAGATGGATGAGAGCCACTGGAGAGACGGGTCCATCTGAATGTTTAGGCAGTGTTTCAGAGACATCTCTCCTTATGTGGCTATAGCACATCGACTTGCTCTCCAGCCATGTCACGGTGAGGACAAACAGAGCTTGACCTGCGGCACTGACTTGCAATAACTGTTGTGATATCCATGGCTGGTTTTTGTTTTACTGGCAATCCCTATGATTTCTCAAAGTGAGGTCTTATTCAAGTGTTTACATGAAACGTTTACAATGTGAGCTGGTGGTCTTGTTTAGATCTGTGTGGTCAGGTTAAGTGTATGTTCTGGTGGTCTTGTTCTCAT